CATGGGATCAATTTAAGGATTTTACAGAAACTTGGCAATAGCGGCGCGCTTCCCAGCTGCCACAACTCCAACCAATCAAATGGGGAAGTTCCCTATATTGAGGTTTTCATCTCACTGTGAAGTTGGTAAAAAACTAATATATACGTATTGTTTCTTTTTTTTTTCGTAAGGTCAAATTTCACTTCAGAACAAAATTAAAGAGGAACTTGGCTCCTCCACCATTCCTAAGACGTACTTTCTGAAAATCCACATTCACACACCGTTAAAATACAATTCTCCGTGCCAGTACGACGTTGCCGACATCATCAACATGTCTAGATTTCCGGAAATCGATCTTTGAATGCATAATAACTATATCATAACAGCAATCCTACTTTGTCAAGTATTATGAATAATTACCATAACTCTCTCATTGGCTGAAAGAAGTTGATTACTAATAAAAATAAATTATGATATTTTGCAATAGTATCTATAATTTTTCACTATCGTTATATGTATTACAATATGTTATTCATAACTTGTCAGTTATTTTTCTGCTAATGAAATCGTTCCTTAATAAAACGGATCTATTCTCTAGGAAAGTTGCAGATTATATCTTGCAACAGCGTCTAACACTTCCAGTCCGTCCACACCACTCAAAATACTGACAGGCACAACAAGAGAAAGTAGCCATGGGTGTCGGCTTCATTCTGTTCTGACCGATGGCAGGAAGTTAGAAAGGATAGTATCATTGAATGAAGCCGATAGTGATTCATTGATTCAATAATATTTTTGTTTAGGATCGACCTCTATTCGAGATATTTCAGTGCATAAATAACAAAACCATATCCTGTCAGAATGAAGCCAACTACCCTCTGCATTCCTGCTCCGAGTGCATTTGTGGTTATGTATGTTTTTGTTTACCAGTTTTACTTCTTCTTCTATTTACTTCATTCGTTTTTCCTTCGTTAGCTATTCACTAGCTATTTTCTTCACCATCAGCTATTTTCAGACTCCGATTCATAATGTACAGGGTGATTCACCATAATTGTCCCCCCCTCTAGCTCACTTATTTTTGAACCGATTTGAAAATGAAAACGACTTGGACTTTATCGGTCGCCATTCTGTACAGCGTGGACATAAAACTGGAGAGTTCCTAACTTATTTCATGTAAATTCATCTGAAGGAAACTTCCCCATTGCAAGAGAACCTTGACATCACAGCTCAGTAGCGTTAGAATCCATTGGTATTGAAATTGCATATTCAATATCAAATAATGCATTTGTTTTTCGGTATTTTCGATAAATATGTGGCAAAGATAACGTTTTTGACTTCCCTTCATAACATTATAGCGAAAAAGGGTCAATTTGTACGATGCCTACTGGAAAGACCCATTGATTTTCAGTGGTTTCTTGTTATAAAATTCGCCAGTGTGTGGATTGTGAAAAAGTTCACCACTCAGCAGTGGTGTAGTTATCGCAGGTACTTCAACTAAATTATTGCAAGAGACCTTGTTACTTTTGTTCAAATTCCACTGAATGATGGATCAAAATCACGTAAGTACCTAACGTACTACGAATATTTGGTAATAAAATCAAAATATTAGACCCAACCATTTTCTAATAGGTGAATTAGCGTTGTCATCGTAGTAAAATTTTCTTACCCCTTGCTTAACCTTGACGCACAGATTACAGCGTTGCCAATTTTTAAAGCCATATCTTTCTAACTCATTTGAAACTTTGGCAGTATGTGATTGTAAAAAATGGTGTTATATGAATGAAATGTTATGTCTCCCCTCTTTTTATATGTCTATGTCAAAACCCATGAAAATCATGACTTGAAAGATGCATACATTAAAAAAACGTTGCACAAAATCTGTCATAACAGGCCAGTCTAGAACGCACGAGCAACGTGCAACATCACCATCAGACCTTACGAATCGCCCTCAACAACTCTACTATAGTTCATGTCACCGTTCTTGGCGCTAAAGTAAAACAAACGATTGAATTCGTATAGGAACAGTGTTGCCAACAGAGTTTATGTATCAATAGGGACGTTCTTTTATTCATCGGCGGCTCCATCAATCAACCAACTGCGTTCATATATTTTTTGGTGGATTCCAGTTTGACGTAACCACGCGTTCATTTATTACTGTTGTGTCAACCAAAATTGCAAACCATTCCACCGATCTTCAGAGATGATGGACGAATTTTGGTGGACCTCGAAATGACAGCGACAGCATAACCTCAAAAAACTAAATACAAAATATTGGTTTTGAAAGCTGTTTGCCATCTGTGTGAGACAAAATATCAATGAATTGATCGAAATCAGCCTAGAATATCAAAATAAAATAATAGCTGCATTATTGTCACCATCAGAAATGGAAGAAATTTCGAGTGGTAGGTACTTTTTCATGAATTTCAAGAAATTAGTGTTAACATTCAGGAAACTTGAGTACCAACAGAGATTTCTTATTAATGACTCTATCCATATCATCATAATTTAATGCAATGTTTTATATAGGTTGACGTCTACTTCCTAACATAATAGTAGATTGTTTTATTAGGATCAAAAGTGACACTTTGTTTGACAAGCGAAATTTTGCATTTGCGAGGCGGAGCGTTTAGCGAAGCCGAGCGAAAGCAAAATTTGCGAGTTGATGATTCAAAAACTTCAATAATCCCGAAAGCCCAATTTTTTCACATGTCCTACTGTTGCTCTGAGGCGACGATATGTTGCCTAGCAACATACCTATTTTTGTGTCAGTAATAGAAACGTCAATTTAAGAGCTAATTTTGGTATCAAAATGGACGACTTTTGTGTCGGTTGCAGAAAAAAAATATTTCATCCTCGGAACTATCAGTAGAACTGTTAGAACTTTTGGATCTGGAGACAAGGACTCCAATAACACTTTCAGTTTTTCACGAACACACAATATTTCCTGAATGTAGGTATAATTTTTAAATGGTGGGGTATGTGCCTCTTCTTTTAATCCTCCGTTCTAATCAAAACTGTTTCTATTAAAATGCATTCAAAAACTTGTGGAGTGGATAATTATAGGCACAATGAGAAAGTATTATATGTGATTTCGTATTAGTTTTACCTCGAATATTTTGCTGATGTATTTACCAATTTTCCTCATTCGGTCACTTCACTTTCCATGTTCTAAGTTCATTTGCATTTGATGGAAAGCTGACAAATTCAAATTTTCCATCCAACTGATTGATACAGCGTAACGCAGAACATTTTACAATCCTTCCAAAACAGAATGAATAGTGTCGTATCAAGATCAAGTATGAAATTAAAATTTTGTAAGATCTCTCTTAACGTCTATGAATGTGACGTGATAGCAATGTCATGTCAGGAACGCCAATACACGAAACCAAAAGTCACTAGATAATCCAAAGAGTAGGGTCCCTTGATGGAAATTGACGTTAAAGTCATCTTAACAGGGTACGGACAGATCCTCGTCTCCTCTCACTCTAAAGCGTTTGTGAAACAGTTATATAGTTCCATCCTTATTCAATTCTGGGGATAAACACTAGATTTTTGACATTCGTTGTTTTTTAAGTTATATTGAGGTCACTGGCGTATCATACGTATGGAATTACTGATTCAACTATACCAAGATATAGATGAACAATCCTCTAGTTTTAGAGTTTACTACTCCAGCATAATCTCTGCGAGGTAGGGAACATATAAATTGTACTGAAGGCTTATAATGTATTTCACCAAAAGAGACTGTTCTTAGACTGTATACCAGGGTTGACTGAATTGACTGAATCAATTCTGATTTCAAGCTGAGCAGTAGTTTTTCTATGAGCTGAATGAGCAGAGCCTTATGATTGAGAAATGGTGGAAACCTCGATGTGGGTATCTAAACTACTGCAGGTAAACTCATGTCATATTTTCGGAAATCCAACTCGGAGAAGAGTTACTAATATCACACTATGTACAAAACTTCGTCTAGGACGAAAAGTAGGCTGATTAAAATAAATACGTAAAATATGTAGTAAAATAAAGAAAAGAATATACTTTACTTCATTTTTTCGTCTCCCTTGAATAAAAAGTCATTTTCGAATAATTTATTGATGAAAGTAACAAAGTAGGTATGCGCAGTATAACTTATAGGCACGCTATTTTCACTCTTGCATCCTACATATTTTCTATTTGTGATAGAGTAATAATTATATAAACTAATGTCTTTTGCCATATTGGATCCGTCATCTTGAATTTCCCAATTTTTACGATACAATCATTATCTCCTACCCCGAATACCCCCAGACACCAGTTTTAAATAATATCGGATCTTCATTACAAAACAATCCACCATATTGGATCCGCCATCTCCAATATCCCAATTCTGACAAAATAATTATAATCTCCGACCCTGGAAATCCCCAGATACCAATTTTGATTTTTATTGGATCCGCTATCTTGAATTTCCCAATCTTGACTAATCATGAAGTTCGACCCCGAAAACCCTCAGATATTAATCTTAAATAGAATCAGATCATAATTAGAAATTTCTTTCACTATATCTTGAATTTTCCAAGTTTGACGAAACAATCATTATCTCCAACCCCGAAAAACCCCAGATATCGTCCAATTTTGAATAGAATCGGATCATAATTACAGAACTCGTTTGCAATATGATCTTCCTCAACAAGTGAATACCCTGTACATACCTATTATTTAAATTTAGAATGATTTTCTGTAGCGCCCATGGATGTGAGGTGACAGCAGTGTCAGGGATGCCAGTAGACAAAACTGAAGTCTCTAGATCATTAAAAAAGAATGCAGCTATGATCTGTCCGTACCCTGTTAGATGACTAACGTCAATTTCCATCAAGGGACCCTACCAAAGAGAAAGGAGCTATGATCTGTTCGTGCCCTGTTAGATGACAAATACGTCAGTTTGCATCAAGCCAGATCTAGCGGCGAAACCTCTGATTCGGCAACACTGTATACCAACGTTGACGTTGACGCCAAGAACGGCGACGTTCACCACACTACCAACTCTACATGACATCGACAAACATCTCGCACGGATTGCCCATGGCTATTTTAAAGCTCTGTCTACTACCGGCGATGTCCTTCGGCCGCTGCTGCTGCTGCTGCGTCTGCGTTCCGCTGCTCTGCTCCGACCCGTTGGAGCTGCCGTTGCCGTTACCGCCTGACGGAGCTCCGCCCCCTCGAGGCACCGGAGCCCCGCCCATCGACGTCGGGTCGCTGTCCGAGGCGCTGCTGTGGCCCGCCGCGGCGTCCTTCAGGTTGTCGGAGCCGCCAGAAGATTCGCCTGCAAAGGAATGTGGTTGGTTAGGAACTTGTGGTGTTTTCCACTCGTTGCACTAGAGTTCCTAAATGTACTTGAAACTGCTGTTTTGACGTTTTTTGTATATTAAGGCTATGTCTCACGGTCCAACAATTTGATCAAACTTCAGATCTGTGATGTCATCAGTGACGTCACGTCAAACAGCAGCTGAAATTTAGAACATGTTCTAAATGTTTGTCATGTTGAATCAAACAAGGAGGTTAGGATGTTTGTTTTCATGTTTTCTACATTGAATATTATTTTATATCTTAGGGATCAACCAGCAATACTATCATCAATATTATCAATACTTCCAAAATGCCTGTCCTAGTAATTGGACTGAGGACCATTTCAGATAATTATAGGAGTATTTTTATCCTCCTATCCCAAATTCATGCTTGGTTGACTAGAGAGTAGAGACTTTGTTATCATTTCTGCAGGTATACGTTCACGTGCATATATGGATTGCTAAAAATCTGAAACATCTCCCATCCATTCTTAGGTAGTTTTGAAATTTACTATGGGATATTTTCCAGTCTGACTTCATAAAAAATCGTAGCTTTTCTACCAATATTACTTCTTTGAAGCCATTATTTTGTACAAATCTCCCTCTTTTTTTGAAATCACTTTGTATTGCAAATACAACACAAAATACTTACCATATAATAGAATGAATTTTTATTCAATTTTTCCTTGTGATTTTTCTTATTTGAGAGAACACCTACTTAACCAATATTTTTGTTCAAATATCTTCGAATCGTGTGACAAAGATTTCTTGACATTTCAAACCATTTGAGTACGGTCAAACAGGCAAGAATTACGTCACGAGCTTGATCAAATTGTTTGACCGTGAGACACGACCTTTAGAGTACGGACACTATAGTTGCGATTTATTAACATTGCTAGTGTCACCAGTGGGACCGAATGGCCGTTTTATTGACTATACTGTGGAATTTCTTATCATCCTGGTGGCTCTGGCCTTTCGGTCTCAGAACATCGAATACGTCGTGGAATGTTTGACAAATAAGGGTATTTCACATAATAATTTTGTTGTAATCAAAAACTTTGTATTATAGAAATAGTAGATACGGAATAAGGAATAGGTAGGAACCTACTGATGGAGAAGATGGGCCAACAAGAGAGGACAAATGTGCATATAACTCATGGAAATATTCAGGAGTCAATCTGAAATGGCTCTGAAAGGTCTTTGTATTGAATCTTGGTATAAAAAACTCATAAAAATTCAAATTTTTTTGGACTTCTTCATTACACATTTTGAAAAAGGTCAGTATGGATCATTCATCATCCTGAATTCAATTTTGTCATCTTATGAATCCATAATTTCACGAAGAATGTCGCTAGGTAGGTGACAAATATAAGTTTCAATGCACTTTCCATTCCCATAATATGTTGCTCCCTGCATGATTCACTACAATATTTTCCTATCCTCCTATCAAAATTTGATAATATCGAATTACATCAATGTCTAGGGAATGATTATTGATTAGTCATAGTTAGAAATTCCCACGACCCCACTGCCCGCACGTATATACCAAATCCATTATTCAATAGTATGTATCATCAATCCATGAATTCAATCCAAAGATCCAAAAATTGATCTAATCTGAACTGTCATTTTGAACACCAGAGAATCACAAACAAACGCGACTAATGACACTGACTGACAATCTGACATAACCACAAATAAATTGATGGAAAAAGCTGGAACTGACAGTACACGGACGTACATGACAGAAATTTCAAAGGCCTGACAAATTGAGAGAATTAGGAGAAAGATGCAAGTTTGTGCAGTTTCCAACTGTGATAACACGGGAAATCAATTCACTCTATTCGAATTTCCGTAATTCTACAAAAATGGACAAGAAATATAATGAGGCCGGCATGGAATATGGGTTCAGGCCACAAAATCTGCGAGGTTTTCAAATACATATAGGAATAGTATATGTATTTCCTTGGTATATATGTACATACCAACTTGATATCGACCTCCATTGAGAGAGATATATTGACGTACTCTTCCCAGGACTTGTGGAGGAAGGAAGATGCGAGGATCCTTTATCTAAGCGAAACACATATTCTTGTCCTTGTTTGGCAAAACCTATGATTTGCTTCAAAATCGTTCGTGGTTATGTTTGATTGCCACTGCTTGTCTTAGTATCCGTACTCTAATATTCCCAAAAACGTCAAAACAGTAGTTTCACTAGCTCGAACTTTTTCGGCACTGGGCGCGTTTTGAGCAGGGACGGATCAAGAGATCAGAAACAAGAGAGTTATAGGGGTGAGCCACTTTTGAGAAACACCCGGTAGATGGCAGCGTCATAGAATGTATGCCGCGATCACATGGTCCTACCTTGGAACTAATGTCACTAGATGGCGATAGCATGACGATCATCATGCATTATCCGGCGTCTTCATATTAGTTGGCAATGATATTGAATTTCTTCTAGAATCATTATTGAAATTGCAAAATCATACGCAACAAGATATAAAATCTCAATTATATGAGTAGATTGTAATTTGAGAGTGTAATTGTGATATATCGTTGAAAAGGTAATTATTTACTGAATCGTAATTTCCAGAAAAAACTACTTTGTATTTGGGAAATTGTTTTGCTCCTCGCTTAACTTTCGCAACTGGCAAAGAAAAGTGTGAACATTGACGCACAGTTTACAGCGTTGTCAATTTTTTAAGCCATCTCTTTCTAACTTATTTGAAACTCTGAAACTGTGTATGATTGTGAAAAAATAGAGTTTTATGAATGAATGTTATGTTTCCCCTCTTTTTATATGTCTATGATTATTTCAATCATATCGTTCCAATTGCTTCCCTCTTAAGCTATGTAAGTCAATGAAACATGGAAATAATTTCTAGATATTTCTTTTGACCACTTCTATACTTTTTCTCGGGAACCTGTGCGGAGTTATAACCGGAGTCCCTTCTTAGTTGAACACCCAGTACATCAATTATATTCCTCGACTAATTGGTCTTGCAAATCAATTAATTTTTTATATGAACCCCAACAACTTCACTCAAGAATGTAAATAGCTGACCTTAAGTAAAAACAAATATGTGAAAATACGAAAATAACATAAGAACAAAAATGTAAAAATAATAAAATAATGAAATGAAGATGATTTTATTTACATAGGAAAATATTTCAGGAATAATAACAAAGGTTTCAAATAAAAATATCTGGTATATTCAGGTGATTAATATTAATTAGTGTATGAAAAACAGCATATCAATTAATTTTTAAATAACAATGGCACAAAATAACAGTTATTTACCAGATATTTTAAAAACAAACTAAATTTGAGTATTCAAAAAACTAAACTTCCCATTTGGTTCAACAGTTTTGTCTAAGCATTGGAAAGGAGAACCAGTGATATATTATTTATTTAATTAAATAATAATAACAAAACTGCTCAACAAAATAGGAATTCCAGAAGAAACTTAATTAGAAGTTAACAGAAAATTTCACTATCTAAAACCAAAACTTAAAAATAATGGCAATACATGCTAAAGTGAACAAATTTAAAACACAAACAAAAAGGAAGGAACACGATTTCAACAACAAAAGTGATATATAAATAATTATTATTGATGGTGGCGGTGTTTAAATCAAAATCATCAATGAATTCCGAAAATTCCATGATGTATGAAAACTAAAAGCTCAAAAGCTAGTGTTTTTTATGTTTGTCATTGAATTTGTTCATTTAGAGTATATTTTTGTTCTAATTTTCAGGCAAGGACTTCTTTGTCTACCCACTCAAACATCCAACTTTTTTCGCTCTCGTCTCAAAACCCCCGTGATTCAAGATGACTGAATCAGTAGGACATCTGAAAAAGAAGGGTTTTATATTCTGATATTTTGTTTAACGAATATTCTACATACCTATGCTATAGGTCAAACAGTCCTAACTACATGTAGATATATGTTTCAAAATGTCGCACCAAAACCATCACAAAATCAAAGCATTCACTTGTCTAGGTTGGTTCTTGTATTAATTCATCAGTGTAATGCCCAACGATGACAATATAGAATTAGAAAACTATTCAATATACATAGTTATCTTGCTGACAGCACCAATATTTTTTGAATGTATTTGAATGGTTAGACCATACAGGATCTCATTTCATGCTCTTTAAGGAGTGGGGACATGCTTGCCAGCTGAACAAAGCTTCACTTGTCTAGGTTGGTTCTTGTATTAATTCATCAGTGTAATGCCCAACGATGACAATATAGAATTAGAATACTATACAATATACATATTATCTTGCTGACAGCACCAATATTTTTTAAATAGGTTGGTTCTTGTATTAATTCATCAGTGTAATGCCCAACGATGACAATATAGAATTAGAATACTATACAATATACATATTATCTTGCTGACAGCACCAATATTTTTTAAATGTATTTGAATGGTTAGACCATACAGGATCTCATTTCATGCTCTTTAAGGAGTGGGGACATGCTTGCCAGCTGAACATAGCTTCACTTGTCTAGGTTGGTTCTTGTATTAATTCATCAGTGTAATGCCCAACGATGACAATATAGAATTAGAATACTATACAATATACATAGTTATCTTGCTGACAGCACCAATATTTTTTGAATGTATTTGAATGGTTAGACCATACAGGATCTCATTTCATGCTCTTTAAAGAGTGGGGACATGCTTGCCAGCTGAACAAAAAACATGTTTGTTTGTAACCCTTCATTGAACGAGTACAAACTATAAGTGCAGACTTATTTTATTGAAATTATCAAGAGTGCATCAGAAGAGTCGAGAAATGATCATGCTCTAGTTAAAAAACTGATCAGAAGTGGATAAAGGAAAGTCTAGTTTTTTATTTTCTGTTATGTTTAACCTTCAAAATGTAGATTTGTGGCAAGTTATTTTTGTTTGAAACAGTCATGATTCTTTCAGAATGGGCATGGTTTTGATAATTCACTTACACATACAGGGTATTTGAACGACAGAAATATAATTTTATGACGATAAAGCTCGTATAATGAATAAACATTTTTAAAAAATGGTTACAATGTCAAAAACGGGTCTCGATCATTTTCACATTATAAAAAACTCCTCTCGGGGCTAGAATGAAGATTGTTTTTGAATTTTTTTCATTCTTTACCTTGAGGTTAGTCATTTTGATTCAACCTACACAGTTAAATATCATAAACTATTTGAATCAGTACCTTTTAACGATTTGAAGTTTTTTTTTATCAAAGATATCTATCATGATCTGTAAATTTCATCAGATACATCATCTAAAGATGAATAATCAGTAAACAAGACACTTACCACTTCCACTCAAAACTGATTCTTCTTTATTGTAACCGTATACTGTGTTCTCACTGTAGAATGGCATCGGCATGTATTCCAAAGGATTGTAAGTACCGCTGTATGGCATGTAGTTAGGAACGTTCGGCAAAGGACCCACACTATCAGTATCACCCTGTATTTTCAAGTTTGTCATCGCCGAACATAGGTCTCCGAAAATGTAATAACACTGAAAAACAAACAGAATGAATTAGACATTTGTGTGGAAATCTTATCGTTTGTGAAGTTTTTTCATCAAGTATCGGCCGAACAAAAAAAAAAAGATGTGTAGTTACCAATAATAATATTTGACATTCCTATGTTAACATAGACAATTTTATGCTGCATATGATATAATTGACATATAAATGCTGAGTCATTGGATCGTATTAGTTTGATAAGAGTTCGGACACAGAAATGACAACGGTTGGGGTTTTGAATGTTTAGATTCATTAAGTAACACACCTTACATTGTGACAAGAGCACCATAGTCGTCCCGCGCTTTTTCATTCAAAATTGTTTGAATTTGACAATCAATTTTATGAACGTCGGAATTGAAATGAAATTTCATAATTATACTCTCGAGAAAAAACAGTTATCGAAATTACTTGCTGTGTAACGAATTGTGCCAATTCTGAAAAAAATGAAAACAAATATCAACCATTCGCTTATGGAAGGAAGATATGGGTGGAAAATGAATTTGAAGACGAGCAAAATTTGTGAGGTACTCATTAAAATTCCCTTCTTATAAACAGCATCTGATTATAGTGATTTTAGGCCCATTTGTAAACAGAAGATTTCAAAATCTGTTTGAGATAATCTGCTGTTCCATCAATTTACAAAGCAGAAGAATATTATAAGGAATTCAAAAGCGAGTCGAAGTATAGGATTGAGAAGTTATCGAATTGCATAACTGTGTTCCCAATATTCACAGTTTCAGAAGGTATATTATGTTCTCACATATCTATTATACCTACTTTTGGGTATCAGTAATCTCCAAAGTGATGGAGAAAGCCATCAACATTGAGCTTATCAAATATCTGGAGAGCTCAGGAATCATACAATAGACAATAGACAATACGGCTTTCGCCACCGAAGATCTACTGGAGATCTACTTGCCTACGTCACCCATTTATGGCAAGCTTCATTAGAAAAACACGGGGAATCTCTAGCTGTCGCGTTGGACATATCGAAAACATTTGACCGTGTTTGGCACGAAGGACTCCTCCACAAACTACCATCATACGGCTTACCACCTCAGCTATGCCATCTCTTATCGAGTTTTCTTTCAGGCAGATCGCTTCATGTGGTGGTGGACGGTGTATCGTCTGATACAATTGGTATCAATTCCGGCGTTCCACAAGGATCAATTTTGGCACCAACATTATTCCTGCTTCATATCAATTATCTGTTGGGAGTAACAACATGCCCTATCCACAGCTTTGCAGACAATATGAATGGAATCGGACCAAATCTTGTCCGCCATCTGGGAGGAGCCATTTTTTCAAATTTCAACAAGATGGCGGACGAGATTTGCTCCGATTCCATTCACAATTGGTAAGTGGGGGTTTTTGAGGTCGGAGATCATGATTTTATTGTTAAAATTTATAAATTGAAGATGGCGGCTTCCAAATAATTTTTTGTTTTTGTATAAATGACGATAACTCCGTTGTTATCAACACAAAACTATTACTGCGACATATCATCTGTAAGAGAAAAAAAAGTTATTCGTAACTAAGTCATAGTGAGCTATGACCTACATTTGAAAAACTAAAGTTGGTGCTGATATCTCAAATTCTAGAAGAGTTGGTATAAATTTCATATTTTTCTCGAAATCACTTTGAAAAACTGCCATGAGAATGTGAAATCCCTATTTGAATATGTTCATAAATAAAGAAGTTATGGAGGAGTTATGAAAATGATCAAAATCTGTTTTTTGCGTATAAAACAAAAACGAATAGATTTTATCAAAGTATTTGTTCACATTATAGTTGGCCTTGACAAACTCCACATTTGGTGTCATTTAACCGACCTCGTATCTCTCACCGTTAAAAAGATACCCATGGTGAGCATGGTAAGTGGGACACACTGTTGTTCTGCTAGAGGTGTATCACTACAAATTGAAGTGGGTGTTTGTACCGTATTTTCATTTTCCATCTACGGCTATGATTGATTTGACAGAAAATATAACCTCTAAAATCGTATCTGACAATCAGGCGCTACTAGGGAAATTGAAAAGACAAAGAACGGAACCATTGTATTATAGAATATAGAAAATGGACAAAAGTTCAGCTGTGTCCGAACTCTTATCAAACTAATTGTGTTTTAATGCTAAGCAATGTGCCATGTGACGGCATATGTCACGTGATCATCAAGTGTGATTATTTGGTAGTAGTATTGAAGGTTATAATAATTGTTCATTCAATTAGGTGACTGAATATCATATGATTATTTGATTATACAACCGAATATGGTAGAAACATATCTTCCGAGTCGTTCTGGCCAAATTCATATCATGACATATCACACTTGGCGTCAAAAACATATCATTTTTGACAGAATGACAGCGCGGGAAAATGAAGGTTAAAATCCCAATACCATCCAGTGACTCTAGTTGAATCTAACCTAACCCACCCACCTGTTCGGAGAACGTGATCTTGTTGACCGTGTGCCGGATGAAGCCGGCCTTGAGCAGATGCGACGCGTACTTACGCGCGTCCCGACGCTCCGCGAAGCCGTCGACGCGCGTCAGCAGCCAATCGATGAGGTCGGTGCCGATGAACGCGTTCGGAATGGTGATCTTCAGCCAGAGGCGGTCGCGGATCTCGAGACCGCTGTCGGGTCGCGCCATCGCTTGGACTATTTGCGCCATGGGCGTGGTGTTCACCGACAGCTGCTCATCCAGGTCTACACGGAAACGAGAGTTTTCATGCGGGGGGATAGATAATGATGATATAAAATATAATAAAAACTCTACAAGTCGTCTCCACAACGTTTAACCCATCTGACCCTGAAACTATTTTTTCCAATTTTGTATATTTTTTTCTCAAAAACGGTTTATAGAAGGTCCCATAAGTCGGGAAAAAATTATAAAAAAAATTTCGATCTTGCTGTCCCTTTAAGAAGACGGTAGGATAAAGGGGTACTATGAGAAAACTAATCAAAGATTTAATAAAATGTTTATATTATATCCTACAAAATGCTCAGCAAAATACTTAAAACTTTAAGAAACATTACTATAATAGGCCAAAAAATACGGTATAACAGCCTCATCAAGGCTGTGATTCTCTTCAATTGGGGCATGATTGAAAAACCCTCACTATCGATCCAAAACTTGACAAAATCCTAACGATCGCGATTGACCTTGTTTAAGATGTCAATAAAATATAATGTGATACTGGCGACATCTTCAAACCGTCAGCTGAATCAGAAAAATACAGGTTCCGTATTGAAGTCCTTCTAAAAGGACGGTAGGCGTAAATGGGTTAATTCCAAATTCAAGAAGGGGGGGACATGTTTCGAACCTAAAAGGTATATTTTTTGTCAATGTATGATAAATTGACATTCATCATACAGGACGTGAAAAGCTTGTTATTTTTATAAACTTCAATCGCAGATTCGTGATAAGGTTTTTCTCAATTCAGAATTGCTAATGTCAACAAATTATAGTATTACTGACTTGTTTGGTCCATTTTCATCAACCCAACAAACTTTCAATATGTCATATGACCTAACCTAACCTAACCTGATCTTTCCATTCATTCCGTTATGGGTTGCGTGCAAGAACTGTCAGATGACCGACCCTAAAGGTGAAACATTGAAACACAACCTCACTTTTCTTATTTGTTTACAAGTGATTGAAATGGTTTTTCACAATTATTTTGCCATACGAATCGTATTTTTCGGCTATTCATCAATACGCTCATGCCATCACATTGTGCTGTTGTAAAATGCACAAAAAATGCAGCGGGAGACGAAGGAATCCGGTTGGTACATTATGATTTGAAAGTAAGTGCCTACTATAGTCACTCACATATAGTTTTCATTTTTGAAATTTGGTTATTTCTGATTTCTCATCGGAACTAATAGAAATTCTCGCGATATTTCTAAAATAATGCAAGAAGATTGGATTCCTGCAATCAAACGGGAGGACTGGTCTGACATCTATTAGCAGTATTTTAGCTTCTATTGCGGAAGAGGCAGAAGGAATTTTAATGAGACAAGACAAAATTACACAATGAAAACTATTTACCTGAAAAATTATATTCCTTCGTCTCTCGCTGCATTTTTTGTGTACAACAGCACAGTGAGAAGACATGCTTGAATTAATGAATAGCGCAAAAAACACGATTCGTATGCCAAAATAATGTGAAAAAATATTTCTATCCTTCCGATTCCTCTGTAAACAAATGAAAAAAGTGAGGTTGTGTTTCCATATTTCGTCGTGCACGCGTCGTGCACGCGACCTATTGAACTATCAGCCTGCTTTTTACATATTGGAATAGTCCAATTAGGGTTTGCATCCATCCATAAATATACACGACAAATAGCAAGCAACAGATGCAACGAAAAAATAACAATGGACGAAAAACAAAAGCGTGCGACAAGAAGCGGAGTGCATACATACCAGGACCTAGAAGACACTCACGTTCATTGGCGGGTATCGTACTTGCCAAGGACGAGCTCGAACTGCTTGCAGGCCTGGTGACCGTTTCGCCTCTGACTGCCGCCGTATGGGCCACCCAAGCGCCTGAAAACAAATGGAACGTCAACCGTCGGCGATCCAAATGAAAACAATACGATTTTCCAGTATCCTAAAAGTTGACCCTTCTTTGCCTTGATGATATGAAAATGAACTAGGAAGAGATTATTGGGCATAGCTGGGCATTTTCAAAGTTCAAAAATTCAAAAATGGTTGCGAATATCGATATGGATGTTCGAATAAATATGTTCGTGTTTCGATTTTACATCAAATGGTCAAATAATATATGGGGTGTTCCATTTGAAAAACTCGAGAAAAATCACTTCGAAAAGTTCCGAATTGAAAAATCATTTTCAGCCACCCTGTATAATTTCAGAGCCTGAAACATTTCCAGAAATGTCACACATCTTTTCAATAAATGATATTGAGATTATTTTTTCTTAAAGATTATAATTGTGACAACAGTGATATTTTCGGTAGGCATCTGCAGATGACATTATTTCGACCAAAAAATTCTAACTTTGATAAGAAAGAGATATAGTCAACGATATTATAGGAGTGGATGAGGATCACAGGGATGCTTAAAAAAATATGCAAATATACTGGGCATTCCAATTGAAAAAGTTGATCCCGACCCTCTAGATTATTTTCGGTGCGCCCTGTATATGCGGCAATAATTTTTAGTTATCTGATTCACATTCGTTTTTGAATCAGGTTTCTAGCTAGCATAGAACTCGAGCAATCGAGCTCCGACGCACTAATACCCCACCCCGTATATTGGTAGATCCTTGTTAGAGACTTACCTGGATCAATAGGCCTGACAGGTTCAGTTCTGGGTATGGTAAAATATCCCTTGGGATTTGGATCCCAACATTTGGCAACTACTAATTTAATGGGTCTGAAAGAGATACACCTTCATAGATAAATTCGCACTGACATTATCGTTCATTTCAAGTTCTTACCCCGGTTTTTGTACAACTTCTCTTAATACTTTAACAGCCTCATCGTTTGACATATTTTCAAAATTAACGTCGTTCACTTGCAATATCATATCACCCGGTTCTATTCTACCATCTAAAGCTACTGCACCTCTGGAATAGGAACAATAAGTATCAGTCACATTTACTTTTTAAACAAAAAATGTGAATTTTTACCCCTTCATTATAGATCCAACGTAAATTCCGCCATCACCGCCCTTATTGCTTTGTCCGACTATGGAAATTCCAAGAAAATTCACTGTATCCATATTCAGGGTCACTGTTATAATGTTCAAGGACATGGTAGAATCTGTTATGCTTGAATATGAACTTGTTCTTGACATGGCCTGAAAATATGAAGAGACAGTGTAAAATAACTAATTATAATATCAATTCTAAAGGGTCTTTCAACAAGGACCGGTCGATGTTGTAATTGAATAAAACAAGCTGTGTGTGAGATATTAACGATTTTTTACTTTCATTTGAATGGCCCATTTATGCCATTATTTATGGAATATGACATCGTCCACCGCGGCTTCGAATGGTGGCACGGATCCGAGAGGTCCAATTTTCAATGACTCTGCTGCATAAATCCGGCTGAATCTGAGCAATGGCTTGCGTTATGTTCACTTTTAGGGCATCGGTCGATTGCGGCTTATCAACATAGACCTGCGACTTCAGAAAACCCCACAAGAAAAAGTCTAGTGGAGTCAAATCGCACGATCTTGGCAACCAATTCACATCACCTCTGCGAGAGATAACCCTACCCTCAAACCGTTCGTGCAGAATGTCCATTGTATCGTTCGCTGTGTGGCACGTTGCGCCGTCTTGTTGGAACCACATGTCGTCCACGTCCATATCGTTCAATTCAGGCCAAAAGAAATTGTTAATCATTGATCTATAGCGCTCGCCATTGACGGTGATGGCCTCGCCAATGTCATTTTCAAAGAAGTACGGACCAATGACGCCGCCGGACCAAAATCCACACCAAACAGTAACTCTTTGTGGATGCATTGCCACCTGGTGAACCTCCTGTGGGTTGTGTTCATCCCATATACGGCAATTTTGCTTATTAACAAAACCATTCATCCAAAAATGGGCCTCGTCGCTAAAGATTATTTTTCGGCCAAAATCGGGGTCGTCTTCCAAACGTTTCGAAGCCCACTGAGCGAACAAACGGCGTTGCCTGAGCTGCTGGGTCAGTTGGATCTTGTACGGGTGCAGTCCCAAGTCCCGGCGCAAAATTCTCCAAGTTGAAGTCTGCGAAAGGCCTAGTTCTTGTGCACGGCGAGAAATCGACTGCCTCGGAGATATTATCAGCCGATCTGGCGTTCCTTTGACGTATGGGTGTTGGTTGTTTGTTTACCGAACCGGTTGTCTCGAATTTGGCTACCAAACTTTGGAGAGTCGACGTTGAAGGGCCACCGCGTCTGCCGTAAAATGGGCGCTATGCGCGCAACGTTTGCACTAACGAACACTCATTTTGATAATAAAGTTTAATCATTTGGACATGCTGCTCGATCGTGTAACTTGCCATGGTAATTTGGCATCAGTGACTGAATAGAATACAACAGATTTGACAGATGCCCCCAAAAAAACATGGCCGCCACACACTGTCAACATCGACCGGTCCCTTCACATAGGACCAATTCTTGTTTAATTTATTCAATACTAAGAGTCTCAAAATATTCCAAAAATATTACATTAATTGTGACAAGCCAAAGAGCTCTCATTAACAGATGGAAGGTAATGCGATTGAAAATAAAATGAAAAAAAAATCACTTCAAGCAGGTGTACTACCGAGTATGTGCTATGTCATAAGCAACGAAAATAATGTATTGTCTCCACCACAGAGTCTTGAAGTGGTATTTCACTACGAAGGTATTTTTGTAATTTCAGGGCCACAAGCACATATATAAAATACTATCAAGACCGCTAATGCCATAAGAAATAATCTATACCAATAATTAAATTCAATCTGTCAAGAAACATGACTGGATGAATGACAGTTTGGGAAGAAGAAAACTTTTCAGGTCTAGATGAATTACATTCGATGTGACATCCTTATGCTAGAATTGAAATACAATAAATGTTTGAGACAGGAAAACTCATCATACATCGATTACCTTGATGAATATACAGGGATAATAGTGTCTAATAAAAATATTCCTTCCAGCTATACAGGGTGATTCAAAATTCGATGTAAATATTTCAAGGACGTATTGTTGGGATGAAAATAAGACTTTTTCTTCATAAAAACATGTGTCCTCTCACTACAAGGAATGACGTGGAATGACTGTTGACACTTGTCAAAAAATTATACTAGATTCACGAGAAGAGAAAATTTTTGAAAGTAGAAGACAGTAAGCAGACATTTTTATCGCGAATTTCACAAGTATAATATACAGGGTGATTCACATAAGAACCGACATAGAGCAGGGGCATGTAGGGGGTCCCAAAATATGGCAATTTAACGCAACTTACCTCCATACCAAGTTGCTTCCCTAAGGAGATATAGGCTTTGAAAGTGAAGTTATAAATTTTGAAAAAAATCAATATCTTTGTTATTCTTGAACTTAAAGCAACCAAATTTGTTACACTTTGTGGATGTATTTAGGGCGTTACTTGACAGTAACTAGAGTTTGATTGAAATTTGTAAAGGGGGTATACCGGGTGGCGCACCATCAATATTCAACATAATTTTGTTATCCCTTGATGGATTTCAAAAATCTTTGCTTTGTTTTGTGGGCAATTCAATTCTAAAACTTTTCTTACTCTAGTAATTTTTCGAAAAACCTCATCATTTTCATCAAAAACTCGAATAACTGAAAACGCGCGATCTAGGTGTGTTATTTAAAATCATCGAAAATTCAAAAGTTGGCTATGAAAATAAACGTCAAACTTGACAATGACGCAAGTGAGTTGTTCAATTAAGTAATTATTGTTGGAGTGTTTTTAAAATGAACGGGAAGTTTTCTTTTAACGAGCAAGTTGACATGCTGTTAGTGCTATGCCTATAACTCCTTAGGGAAGTAACTTGGTATAGAGGTAAGTTGCGTTAAATTGCCATATTTTGGAACCCCCTACATGCCCCTGCCCTATGTCGGTTGTTATGTGAATCACCCTGTATATTCTGTCAAGTAAGACTTTGTTCATTCCTAGATAAAATTGATTCTCTCGATCTCAGAGAAGTTTCTTCACCACAATCACTGCTCCAAATATTCATTGATTGATTTCATAGATTCTTAACTCTAGTATCATGATTTTGAAATTATTTGGAGCCCCAATATATGAATATAACCTCTTTTGTGAATTCTCCCATGCAAGGTCATGCAAGTTTCTCGTTTTATTTGTAAACGTCATTCTGTTCCCACCACCGCTACCAGAATCGAACAAATAAAACGCAACTAATGTGTAATGGATTAATGTAAATGATAATTATCATTAGAGAGTTGAAGTGTTGTCATGAACGTTAACGTAAACGTAGAAATTGACAGCTACGCATGCGCATTTTCCAATTCTTCACGTTTGCGTTGTTAGTGGGCTTACGGGCGTACGTTATCTCACGTTCCTTCACGTATACCTTAAATATCAACGTACGTTAACCAAACTATACTCGAAATATGCCGATGAGTCAAAATTATCAAATTCGAGATCACCAACGAGTTCTGCATCAAGGAGTCCTCTAATTTTGACAGGAATAAATGTTCGAATCTAAACACACAACAAAAAATGACCAATACAAACCGAAAACAAAATGTATTATTACGTTATGATGACAGTGACGACCAAAGTGGCGACTTCAACTCAATTTAACGACAATACGTAAACGTTATTTTTCGTACGTTAACGTCGTACAGTGATTACTTCAACTCTCTATTATCGGAATGGTGTTTCTGTCGTCAACAGACAGAACTTCTCACCTGCAACCTTTGTTTTCTTCTTCTTTGAGGTCTCTTTCGGCCTGCCACATGAAGCCGACTCATGCTGGAACATTCCGATAAAGCGGTGTGCCTCCCTGTAGTCTCGGACTGAAAGCTGGTCGTTTCCAAATCTGAACTTACTATAGACTCAGTCTCATACACTCTGAAATGACATCGAGAGTATCGTTTCATGAAAATATTACGAATCGATGTGGTCACACAGTGAATGATCATTTTTTGATAATGATCTAGAAAATAATATACACTTCCCCCAAAAATAAACGCACAATCAAAAAGTAACTAAAAGTTTGAGATACATTTTTGTCAAAAATGCTTGTCCGATTTAGACGTTTGTTGTTTTGAATAGCAGATTGTCTCCTTCTGAATATTGGCGTCATATTTTTTATGAATAGCAATATTTTTATTTTATATTTTTTATATTTATATTTATTTCAGTTATTGCATTACATTCTCTTCTTCATTGATACATTTCATACAAATAATATATAAAGTATAAATAATTTTCTAGTAGGAATGACATGAATGATCAGACAGTAATTCCTGGTATAAGATCATTCATGAAGTATTATCGACTGTTGTATAATTGAAATTACAAATAGTGAACAAAACTTACATATCATTAAGATATCTCAAAATAACAGTCATATTATAGTGAACAAGGGAAAAAAAATAGGAAATTCATAGTCCTTCAGCTTTGATCATTCCTTTGCATATAAATATATTTCTTAACTTTATTTTTGAATTGCATAATATTTGAGATGTTTTTGATATCATCTGATAATTTATTGAATTTCGAAATTGCCTCATGTGTAAACTTTTTTTGCCCAGCTTCAAGATGAAACAAGTTATAGCAATTAAAGCGTATTTTAATTTGGCCTATTAAAAATCTGAAAAGATTCACATAGACTAATTCAATATCAAAATTAACGAATCTGTAATGAAAATTGAGAAACTTTAGAAAATGGAGACGTAGTAGTCCACTGGAGTGCTCCTATTGGCAAAAAAAGCGGAAATTTGACTTTGAGCGCCGATATCTCAAAAACTATCTGTCCTATGAAGCTGATTATAGTCTCATTCGATTCGGCGTGTCATTTTCTACTGGAAAAACGATAATTCGCGTGAATTTCTGCCGTTTTCTGTGTGATACCCTGTAGAGTGGAATAGTTACATTATCGAGTAAGAATTGAAATTACACTTCAGCCTCATATTTTTTCAATATTCCTTTTTTGGATTCACTCTATCATCTTCCTATTAATCCAGATAACACAATTTTATATCATAACACGATTTTATTGAAGTCAATTAGCATTATAAGCACATAAGTAGCAGGCTATGGTCTGGGAAGGAATTTCTTTGAAAAGTTGCCACGAAATAATTTGGGTTTAAATAAAATCTCCATCATTATTACAAATACTAGGATATTTTCATTGGGACTTGAGCATCTTTCAAGTATACAGGGTGATCCACGGTGGATGGCCTATTAGAAGTATCTGGAGAACGAGAAGACAGAACATTCTCTATCCGTCTAAAATATATTCATCGATACAGTGTTGCCACTTCTATCAGAAACAACTAGCAACTTTGTTATTTCAAATGGAACACCCTGTTTTTTTTTTCGTTTCTAGATTCTTCTTGAAGAGCTGATTTCATCAATGCATCACACTTGGGGTCCAGCAGGAATTATTACAGAGATATAGGGTGTTCAAAATCGAGATTTTTCAATTTCAGGAATTTTTTGTGTCGAAACTATCCATTATCGATCAAAACGGCTTACATGTCCCTATCTCAACTTTTGATTCACTATCTACTGACATTTAATTGGAACAGATACAGGGTGATCAAAATTCTGAATCTTGGACCATCCTGTATTTTTTCCAATTAAATGTCGGTAGATAGTTAATCAAAAGTTAATATAGGGACATGTAAGCCGTTTTGACCAATGATGAATAGTTTCGACACAAAAAAATCCTAAAGCTGAAAAATCTCGATTTTGAACACCCTATATCTCTGTAATAATTCCTGCTAGACCCCAACTGTGATGCATTGATGAAATCAGCTCTTCGAGAAGAATCTAAAAACGCAATAAAATACAGGGTGTTCCATTTGAAATAACAAAGATGATGCTACTTTTTTGTAAAAGTGGCAACGCTGCTTCGCTGAAAATATTTTGAATCGTTAGATCGCGAACGCTTATTAGAGTAACCAAATTTTCAGGATAATCCAATGTACCGTTTTCCGTATACGTCTAAGGTACCATCGACCGTGGGCCACCCTGTATGTTATTTACGGAATGATCAAACCCCTCTCTAGAACTATAATAGGTATATTATTATCTCATCATGATGGTAAGGAAGTATGAGAAAATGTATTCAAATAAATACATGTTTTTTCATATTTTCTTTGAACAACTAGAACATCTCAATTGCAGAAGCGTACAAAATTTATATTCCCAAGTGGATGTAATTGAAAAAATCTAAAATTCAAATATTCAAAATGTCATACTTAATGCATATTGCATATATTTCAGTTTGATATTTCAATTTCATGTGTACCTTACCTTGGAAGATGTCCGTTCATTCTCGATGAGTATTTATGGTGTCTTCTACCTGGTCTGGAACTTATGATACTTTCAGTGTCTGTGCACACAGATTCGGGTGCCATCGGTGGTAATCGCGTTTCTAGTTGATGAGTCACACTATCTGTGCATTGGGAACCGCCGTCTGACGGGTTGGAACCATCAGAAGACACCAACTTGAAACAAGGACGCTTTGGTAAACTTTCGAATATCATGAAAATTTATGAAGACATTGAGAAAAGGCCACTTTGAAATAGGAATTTACGGAATGATGTTTCATCAATAACACATACTTGATTGTTATTTTGGGATTTTTATTTCATTTTCACTGAATGGAGTTATTTTATTCAGGATATACCGGGTGTCACAGGAGACATGTAACAGCCTGAAGTTTTTTTATTTGAAGAGATACAAATTTAAAATTCACAAGTGTTATTTTATCGATGATGACGCTTCTCTTGGGATTTTTGGGATTTTTAGGGCAATCAGGAAAAAACTTTTTTTCGACCTATATGAGCCTACTGCATTGCTTGAACCGCTGATTTTGAAAATCTAAAAGGAGAGTTACCTATCAAATCTGACATCAAATCCTTTCCTAACGGGTCTGAATCAGTGTCTATGAATTTTTTGGGATTTTTAGGGCAATCAGGAAAAAAATAATTTTTCCACCTATATGAGCCTACTGCATTGCTCGAACCGCTGATTTTGAAAATCTACAGGGAGAGTTATCTATCAAATCTGACATCAAATTCTTTTGTTTCGGGTCTGAATCAGTGTCTATGAATTTTTTGGGAATTTTAGGGCAATCAGGAGAAAAATAATTTTTCCACTTATATGAGCCTACTGCATTGCTCGAACCGCTGATTCTGAAAATCTACAGGGAGAGTTATCTATCAAATCTGACATCAAATTCTTTCGTTTTGGGTCTGAATTAGTGTCTATGAATTTTTTGGGATTTTTAGGGCAATCAGGAAAAAAATAATTTTTCCACCTATATGAGCCTACTGCATTGCTCGAACCGCTGATTTTGAAAATCTACAGGGAGAGCTATTCAACAAATCTGACATCAAATTCTTTCGTTTTGGGTCTGAATTAGTGTCTATGAATTTTTTGGGATTTTTAGGGCAATCAGGAAAAAAATAATTGTTCCACCTATATGAGCCTACTGCATTGCTTGAACCGCTAGATTTGAAAATCTAAGGGGAGAGTTATTCATCAAATCTGACATCAAATTCTTTCTGTTTGGGTCTGAATTAGTGTCTATGAATTTTTTGGGATTTTTAGGGCAATCAGGAAAAAAATAATTTTTCCACCTATATGAGCCTACTGCATTGCTCGAACCGCTGATTTTGAAAATCTACAGGGAGAGCTATTCATCAAATCTGACATCAAATTCTTTCTTTTTGGGTCTGAATTAGTGTCTATGAATTTTTTGGGATTTTTAGGGCAATCAGGAAAAAAATAATTTTTCCACCTATATGAGCCTACTGCATTGCTTGAACCGCTGATTTTGAAAATCTGAAGGGAGAGTTATCTATCGAATCTGACATCGAATTCTTTCGTTTTGGGTCTGAATTAGTGTCTATGAATTTTTTGGGATTTTTAGGGCAATCAGGAAAAAAATAATTGTTCCACCTATATGAGCCTACTGCATTGCTTGAACCGCTAGATTTGAAAATCTAAGGGGAGAGTTATTCATCAAATCTGACATCAAATTCTTTCTTTTTGGGTCTGAATTAGTGTCTATGAATTTTTTGGGATTCTTAGGGCAATCAGAAAAAAAATAATTATTCCACCTATATGAGCCTACTGCATTGCTTGAACCGCTAGATTTGAAAATCTAAGGGGAGAGTTATTCATCAAATCTGACATCAAATTCTTTCTTTTTGGGTCTGAATTAGTGTTTATGAATTTTTTGGGAGTTTTAGGGCAATGAGGAAAAAAATAATTTTTCCACCTATATGAGCCTACTGCATTGCTCGAACCGCTGATTTTGAAAATCTACAGGGAGAGTTATTCATCAAATCTGACATCAAATTCTTTCTTTTTGGGTCTGAATTAGTGTCTATGAATTTTTTGGGATTTTTAGGGCAATCAGGAAAAAAATAATTTTTCCACCTATATGAGCCTACTGCATTGCTCGAACCGCTGATTTTGAAAATCTACAGAATGAGTTATTCATCAAATCTGACATCAAATTCTTTCGTTTTGGGTCTGAATTAGTGTCTATGAATTTTTTGGGATTTTTAGGGCAATCAGGAAAAAAATAATTTTTCCACCTATATGAGCCTACTGCATTGCTCGAACCGCTGATTTTGAAAATCTACAGGGAGAGTTATCTATCAAATCTGACATCAAATTCTTTCGTTTTGGGTCTGAATTAGTGTCTATGAATTTTTTGGGATTTTTAGGGCAATCAGGAAAAAAATAATTTTTCCACCTATATGAGCCTACTGCATTGCTCGAACCACTGATTTTGAAAATCTACAGGGAGAGTTATCTATCAAATCTGACATCAAATTATTTCGTTTTGGGTCTGAATTAGTGTCTATGAATTTTTTGGGATTTTTAGGGCAATCAGGAAAAAAATAATTTTTCCACCTATATGAGCCTACTGCATTGCTCGAACCGCTGATTTTGAAAATCTACAGGGAGAGTTATTCATCAAATCTGACATCAAATTCTTTCTTTTTGGGTCTGAATCAGTGTCTATGAATTGTTTGGGATTTTTAGGGCAATCAGGAAAAAAATAATTTTTCCACCTATATGAGCCTACTGCATTGCTCGAACCGCTGATTTTGAAAATCTACAGGGAGAGTTATTCATCAAATCTGACATCAAATTCTTTCTTTTTGGGTCTGAATCAGTGTCTATGAATTGTTTGGGATTTTTAGGGCAATCAGGAAAAAAATAATTTTTCCACCTATATGAGCCTGCATTGCTCGAACCGCTGATTTTGAAAATCTACAGGGAGAGTTATCTATCAAATCTGACATCAAATTCTTTCGTTTTGGGTCTGAATTAGTGTCTATGAATTTTTTGGGATTTTTAGGGCAATCAGGAAAAAAATAATTTTTCCATCTATATGAGCCTACTGCATTGCTCGAACCGCTGATTTTGAAAATCTACAGGGAGAGTTATTAATCAAATCTGACATCAAATTCTTTCGTTTTGGGTCTGAATTAGTGTCTATGAATTTTTTGGGATTTTTAGGGTAATCAGGAAAAAATTATTTTTTCCACCTATATGAGCCTACTGCATTGCTCGAACCGCTGATTTTGAAAATCTACAGGAAGAGTTATTCATCAAATCTGACATCAAATTCTTTCTTTTTGGGTCTGATTGAGTGTCTATGAATTTTTTGGGATTTTTTAGGGCAATCAGGAAAAAAATAATTTTTCCACCTATATGAGCCTACTGCATTGCTCGAACCGCTGATTTCGAAAATCTACAGGGAGAGTTATTCATTAAATCTGACATCAAATTCTTTCATTTTGGGTCTGAATTAGTGTCTATGAAATTTTTGGGATTTTCAGGGCAATCAGGAAAAAAATAATTGTTCCACCTATATGAGCCTACTGCATTGCTCGAACCGCTGATTTTGAAAATCTACAGGGAGAGTTATCTATCAAATCTGACATCGAATTCTTTCGTTTTGGGTCTGAATTAGTGTCTATGAATTTTTTGGGATTTTTAGGGCAATCAGGAAAATAATATTTTTTCACCTAAATGAGCCTACTGCATTGCTCGAACCGCTGATTTTGAAAATCTACAGGGAGAGTTATCTATCAAATCTGACATCAAATTCTTTCGTTTTGGGTCTGAATTAGTGTCTATGAATTTTTTGGGATTTTTAGGGCAATCAGAAAAAAAATAATTTTTCCACCTATATGAGCCTACTGCATTGCTCGAACCGCTGATTTTGAAAATCTACAGGGAGAGTTATCTATCAAATCTGACATCAAATTATTTCGTTTTGGGTCTGAATTAGTGTCTATGAATTGTTTGGGATTTTTAGGGCAATCAGGAAAAAAATAATTTTTCCACCTATATGAGCCTACTGCATTGCTCGAACCGCTGATTTTGAAAATCTACAGGGAGAGTTATTCATCAAATCTGACATCAAATTCTTTCTTTTTGGGTCTGAATCAGTGTCTATGAATTGTTTGGGATTTTTAGGGCAATCAGGAAAAAAATAATTTTTCCACCAATATGAGCCTACTGCATTGCTCGAACCGCTGATTTTGAAAATCTACAGGGAGAGTTATCTATCAAATCTGACATCAAATTCTTACGTTTTGGGTCTGAATTAGTGTCTATGAATTTTTTGGGATTTTTAGGGCAATCAGGAAAAAAATAATTTTACCACCTATATGAGCCTACTGCATTACTCGAACCGCTGATTTAGAAAATCTACAGGGAGAGTTATCTATCAAATCTGACATCAAATTCTTTCGTTTTAAGTCTGAATTAGTGCCTATCAATTTTTTGGGATATTTAGGGCAATCAGGAAAAAAATAATTTTTCCACCTATATGAGCCTACTGCATTGCTCGAACCGCTGATTTTGAAAATCTACAGGGAGAGTTATTCATCAAATCTGACATCAAATTCTTTCTTTTTGGGTCTGAATTAGTGTCTATGAATTTTTTGGAATTTTCAGGGCAATCAGGAAAAAAATAATTGTTCCACCTATATGAGCCTACTGCATTGCTCGAACCGCTGATTTTGAAAATCTACAGGGAGAGTTATTCATCAAATCTGACATCGAATTCTTTCGTTTTGGGTCTGAATTAGTGTCTATGAATTTTTTGGGATTTTTAGGGCAATCAGGAAAATAATAATTTTTTCACCTATATGAGCCTACTGCATTGCTCGAACCGCTGATTTTGAAAATCTACAGGGAGAGTTATTCATCAAATCTGACATCAAATTCTTTCGTTTTGGGTCTGAATTAGTGTCTATGAATTTTTTGGGATTTTAAGGGCAATCAGGAAAAAAATAATTTTTCCACCTATATGAGCCTACTGCATTGCTCGAACCGCTGATTTCGAAAATCTACAGGGAGAGTTATTCATCAAATCTGACATCAAATTCTTTCTTTTTGGGTCTGAATTAGTGTCTATGAATTTTTTGGGATTTTTAGGGCAATCAGGAAAAAAATAATTTTTCCACCT